CCTCCTTGGAAATGTTCAATGTTCATCTCTTCAGCTAGTGAAACAGCTTTTAGCCGAATGGTGACCGTCGAAACGCTTCTCCCGCTCGCTCTTTGCTCGATGATCCACCGCTCGAGTCTTTCCTCCAACTCGAGCCACCTCGCCTTATGTCCGCGGAAACTCAGCTGCGTCTTCTTGACCTGCCGGAGCTTGTTTTCAAGCTTCCTCCATTTGCGAACCATCGATTCGTTAATCTTAAATTCTCTCGCCGTTGCTCGATTTCCATGTTCCTCCACGTAGCTGATGGCCTTCAGTTTAAACTGTGCTTCGTAAGCGTGTCTCTTTGCCATTTTCAGGGTTGTTAAAACAACGATGTTCCACATAATGCACATACCTGTTCTTTTATACAGGTATGTGCGATTGTCCGGTATATACGATCAACGCCCACACTTCACCCTTTAGCGTTCTCATGGTGTTCTCTACTATGTCCTCCTTACAACACACAGGGCGCACTGCGCTATAGGGCGCGCCGTACTTTTTGAAGAAAATCTAAGACTTTTAAGTGCGCCTTATGGTCGTGAAAATACGGTACATGTAATTCAGAAGGTATATTCTTTTGCTAAATGGTATTTGCTGACTGCTTGTATGCTGGTTTTACCTCTGGGTCGTCCTAAAATAAAGGTCTATAATAATTTTGGATGAAGGATCACATCTCCAATCCAAAGAGGGAATTCCAGGAGACAGCGAAGGCAAATCCTGATTTGAGCCCCAAACAGCCAGTAGATCCTGTGTCGGGCCTCTCAGCCTCAACACAGTACCAAATACTGAGAGGTGTACTGAAATTGTGACCACTGAGTGTAAACGCTGAACAGCTAGTATAATATCCCATTTCTAAGCTTTGAATGGTTTTATGTTTTGCCTGATACCTGCTTTCATTTAATAAACTCAGTATGTTGATTCAGCTCACCAGGAGGAAGACCATGATAAAGACCATCCCAAAATTCATAGATTGACTCATTCCTATCTATATTTGGTTGCTCTGTCTTATCAAAATCTTGGGTAGCTACTATTCTTTTCTTTAGTTAGTCTAAAATTCAAGGTTAAGTAGTCGAGGTCTCAGTCTTATCAGAACTGCCTAGATCCAAGATCTAGGGTTGTATCATAATGAGGGAGCGTCAGTACAGGAATAAGTTCGGCGTACACGAATTAGCGTCGAATGAAGTAGTCCAGCCCCGTACTCTGAGCCCCGTCTGCCCAAATGCATGCAATGCTAAGAGGTTGTCTAGAGCTGTCATTTTGTGTGTAGTTAGCCGTTATACAGCTAATGTTAGGTATATATCAGCCATCTATGCATGTTACTGATATATACTGTCCGAGCTTAAGGATGTCAAAACGGACATTTGACTGAAGTGAGAAAATGTTTCCTGCAGATAGTGTTAGAAACTATGTCAGCTGTAGCTCATTAACGATGACGGTACCTTAAATACAGCAGATCTCAGACTCTGTCCATTTTCGCATTGGAAGTATATTGGAAATGCTAAGCTACAGGTTCTTATGAACTCTGCTCTCTTAAGCCAAAATGTCTCGCGGTCACGAATGCTTTGCCATCTTTTAATGAGCGTTTGTTCCATCTTGAAACAGCTTCTTTTCTGATTGCTTTAAGCGGTAATTATAATTTGGTTGATTATTGCTAACAAGTCCACTTTTCTAGGCATTTAGTCTTTAGTTTTTACATAATTGTTTGCACAAGATTTTTTTGTGTTTGATTTGAAGTTCTTGAGTCCAGTCCTAATGAAATACTCAGGGTAAGTCAAGTTTGCTCATTTCCATTTGCATCGAACTGAAAAGTGTGCAGAAGAAGATCCAGGAGACTACTCGTAATCCGGGCACCAACAAGTAAAGCCTTCCTTATTCATTTACAGTAAAAGGAACTCGGGAATAGTTATTTTTATCCAGCCAGGTTTAATACTTAACTGGAAGAGCTCGTGAATCAGGAAAGCTTCCTTGAGAAGGTTGTTTAATTCCACCGCAGGTAAAAATGTTTGGTTATCTAATATTTTAGAACTAATTTGGTACCTAATGAGAGATAAGAGAGGTTACTCATTAAGGATGTGACTTTTGTTCCAGAGTAGACTTGTTTGGACTGCTAACTACATTATTTCACATCTGCTTGATTTCAATCTTAGATACAAGATTTTGTGTTTTATAGGCTTCTTTGAATGTCACAAAAGAGTAGCAAGTATGATGAAGAGCATTGTGTCCAGATAAATTTGTCCTGTTTCATTTGGAAAATTTACTCCAGGTATATAACGTCCATATTAATCTCATTAGATTACCCATCTTGTTACCATAGGCTTCATTACGCAGGTGTCATTAGCTTGAAGTGGACCTATTCTGCTAATTTCCAGCTCTGTATTTGTATCCTGTGACTAAGTCTTTATACTCGCCTGAAGAGCTCCTGCCTCTTGAAGGCCACCTTATATAAAAGCCACTTTCTCCTGATTGGCTGTCTCTTGAAAGAAGACAAAACATAAAGTGATGGTTCAGTCAGAGTTTTTGGATGACTTTTAGTTAGACTTATAACATTATGTGAAAGTTAGTCACATTTAATAAGAACATAAGTTATATATTCCGATATGGAGTAGCAGAATGGGTCCACTGCCCTCAGTACAAATATTGCTTCTGATCATAGAATACTTTTAAAACTTGTTTAAGGCAGCATAGCATTGTGTTTCAATTTAAGAGATCAATTTAAATCATCCTTTATATAAAATGTGCAAAGTTTTTGTTTTGGGTTTTTTTTTGGGAGGGGGGTTGTTTAACTTGATTACATGGTTGGGATTGTACCTGTTGGTCTGTGACACTAGTCTCAGCTAGAGATCACCGTTTCTTTGGTAGAGCATCAGTATCATGTAGCACAATCTGATACTCTTATGTTTGAATGTAAAATTAGATTTCAAGAGTTGTAAAACCAATATTTTAAGCCATCCAGCTTTTGTTATATGATAGGGACGTTTTACTTTTCTTGCTTGTCTTACCGGTAATACCAATGTTAGCTCAGAAAGCTAACAGAGAACTCCTTTTGAAGCTGGGACTGACGCACTGCTGATAATCCTGCCTGATGGTCGTATTGATATCTTTATCCGCACCTTTTGGGTTCTGTATTTATTTTCTGTGCCACAAACATGGCCGTGTCACAGGAAGTGGTTGAACTTCAAACCTTTGGACTTCCATCTTCCAAACGGCAGTAGGTCGTCTGTCACAGCTCACACTTTGACGCATTTACATCCAGTGTGACTCCACACACAACAGGTCTCATCTCTGCCTTTAAACATGTGCTCAGGTAACTTCTATTCACGTTGCAGACCTGTGAGGTTTCACAGGTTGGACTTCCAGTTTAGACCAGTTTGGTTTAGATGTCAGTGAAATAATGAGGTCCAATATGGAATTGGGAAATGGAAATGGAGAAAATCTCTCAAATAATCTAACAACAGGGCATAATGTGAACAGAGGGTTATACTAGATAGGCCTACACCTTGCACTTTCTAAAGATATGACCCACACTTAAATGACTCTTTCTTTGGATCCACCCCCTCACTAACTTCATCTTTGTAGTTTTAAGGTACTCTCAATGACTAAATCCCACACTCTAGTCAAGCTGTTAAATATCCACCAATAGTTTCAGTAGTAATGATCAGATGTAAATGCGTGCCCCGATCATACAAAAAAAATGGACCACTTTAAGGCCATTTTGAAGCCTTGGACACTGCCTGCAGATTCAGCCATTAGTGTTCCACGTGGAGAGAAGAAGAACTTCATACTGGCTGAAATGTGATCTCCAATAGAGATTTCAGCTTTGTTTAAACGTGTCACCATTGGTGGTTGGATTGTAAATGATAAAAAGTTTACGGAAAGAGAATTTTTCTCCCAGATATTGTTTCGGTTACCTGGCTATGACTCGACTGTGCTATAAGCCCTGAAACACTGGCCGTAACCCCCAATGACAGTCAAGCGAGTGTAGTTGGGGTTCCACATTCCCATTTGTCTGCCCTCGTTGGGCTTTTTTGAGCTTAAGCTCCATTTCCTTTCCCCACATGAAATATTGGTCTCTGAAGCAACCTCGGAGTAAAACGGCCTTAGAATGAAGCTGATAGTGTTCTTTGTGCATCAGTATTATCTGTAAAAATGAAATGTTTAAGAAATGAGATGTTATTTGGGACTGAGTTATTAGCTAGGGATATAAAAGCTGCTACAGCAACGGTCGCAAACAGCTTTGCATACATTAGATTATAAAGAGGTTTAAAATAAAAACACAGCAGATTTATTTAATGTCTTGATGGCGAAGGTAGGTAATCATTTTGGTCTCTTGATTAATCAGGCTGATAGTTTTGATTGCTGTAATATAGTCAAAAGTACATTTTAAAAATATAAACCTATCAATAAAGTCATGAGTCTGAAGATGTAGATACTAATTTATCACAAACCTGTAAATGGTAGGTTTTCTTTTGGCTTAACACTTAACTTTCCTGAAATGGTAATTATCACTTCAGTAATTTATATAGTCACTGATGTATTGAGCTAGAAAGCTTCAGCAAATACGACAAAGAAAAGGTTTAATAATGCACCAAGTAAGCACAATGAAGCAAAATGGAACCTCATCTGCAAATGAAGTTGAGAGGGTGAATATTGCACAGATAATCCTATGTGATGTCACCTGTATTAAGGTTGCTTGTTTCACAAAGGTCGATGGACCTTTAATTCAGCCGTCACAAGTGTCCAAGCACTGCAAATCTCTTCTGGACGTTTTAAAATTATAATTTTGTGCTAATTAAAGTTGACCTGATGCTTTGGTCTAAAAGAACTTTGTGAAACCAGCTTGAAGATGGAGTAGTCTTAGCTTTGGGATTTGATGCTAAATGTGATGTGGGTTCAGCTTGTGAAGATGTTCCATAAGGCTCTGGCACTTACAAGTATATCCTGTTGAAATTTCCAGGTAAACAAGTCAGCAGTGAGCCCAGGAACGTTTGGATCGTCGGTCATTCACTGGTGTATTGGGCCGAGTCACGTGCCAAGTCTCCGGAGGTAGGTATGCAGCTGGGCATGGACCCTGGCAAGGTGACCGTCTGGTGGAAGGGCACCCAGGGCATGACATGGTCTCAGCTGCTGCCACAGCTCCACCAGCTGAAGGTCACCTGGCCCAACCCAGATGTCCTTATCCTGCACCTGGGGGGGAATGACCTGAGCACCGACAGCCCCACAGACCTGCTAGCCTCCGTCAAGAAGGACTTGACGTCTATGAGGAGCATCTTCCCACAGTGCGTCCTTGTGTGGTCCAATATCCTCCCTCGAAGGGTGTGGCGCCACTCAGTGGACAGCCACGAGGTCGATTTGGTCCGCACTACGGTAAATCGCCGGATCCAAAATATCATCTCAGAGTTGGGCGGCACCTCTCTGACCCACGATAACATCCGCTGTGGCGCAAACACAGGTCTTTACCGGGTCGATGGTGTACACCTTTCCCAAAAGGGCATCGATGTTTTCAATTTGAACCTGCAGGACCTCCTGGAGAAGTGGGAGATGGAGGTGAACGCCGCCTCTGAGAAGAGCTGAGAGGTTTCACATTCATTTCTTTCTTTCTTTTTTTTTTTTAGGTTTATTTCTGAGGATAGCTAGGCAGTTTTTCACCAACTCTGTATCTGCACAGACCACCTCCTGGCTAATGAAACTGTTTTAGCTTACTGTGTAGCATATCTCACATCTTATGGTAATAATAATTCACTGTATTCATGAATGTCAGCTCATTTTCAGCCATTACGACTTAATGTTATGCAGCAGGTATGCAGAGACATTTTTCTCATGCATGGAGCTGTTAAACCTACATTTGATTTAAGCAAAAAGCATGTTCATGATTTAAACTGCTTTGTGTTTGTGTTCTGAAAATGAAATAAACACTGATTCAGTCTGGTCTTTGTGATAAATGTCTCGTCTAAAACAATGATCTGTGAATATGTGGGAGTTGTCAGAAGCTTCGGTGACATCTTCATCTGCAATATTATCAGAGCGGAGGATGGAGAAGAACCATTTTGTTATTAATAATTATTACTCATTGTACCCAATGTAGATGAAGGCCGGCATTCACATCTGGTCTTTGATAACTGAGACAGAAATGAAAGGATGCTGATTGTTTCAGTCAGAGAAGCATTAAAGAAACCTGAATCAGAGTATCTGTGTATCTGTCATATAAGTTACTGCTTTGTTCCAAGTGTAAAACAGCTTTTTTTTCCACCTGTTTTTGTTTTGTTTTCTCTTCAATGTCTTTGTTTAAAGGTCAAAGCTGCTCTGAATCAGGTGACTGTGGGCGGGACTTCCTGTGTGAACGGTTGTGGTTTCAGACAGTGAATTAAACAGAAATTAGTTGTTTTGTTTTGCTTTTTGAAAAAAGGTCATTTCATCTGGGACGACCTCAGACCTTAAAACAATCAAATCTGTTTAAAAAGGGTTTTTTCATGTCATTGTGAGAATTTCAAGCTCAAAGGTCATAGGTCAGAGCAGTGTGACCCTCTGAAGGTGCTGCTGGGCTCCTGATGCATCTTTATTGATAGGTGACCGTAAGTAATGATCATTTATTGGTTAGTGCTGGTGGAGCAAGCTGTGCAACATTTAGGAGCAGGGATCTCCTGTGGATGTCGAATTCTACATAACACACCTGTGAAAACAGTAAGGTAGGTTAATGTGTGTGTGTTTCCTGTGCAGCCACAGAAGCTCTGAAAAGTGATCGCTTTCATTTAATGAACACACGTCTATCCTTTCATTTCAGCTTCCTGCTCATTCTGATCTATTCATATGTTGAGTTGGAAAGTGAGAGTTTGGTCTTTAAATGTTCCATTTAAGCAGTTTGTAACTGAAGATGGTCTCTTATCACCTGCTCAGGAAAGAGAACAAAGCCAAAAACATATTTATGCACATTGAGAGGTCACTGATACCCAAATAGTCCTTGTTAGAAAAATGAAGCTCAGAATGATTTGATGTTCTTAGGGGTTGTGTGTGTTGTGGGTTTGCAGCTTTCTGATGTCTCTGTGTTTGTAAGTTAATGACTGAGTTAAAAGAATGATACTGTGAGGTCAGGAAACTGGAGAGACGAAGAGCTTCATCCCTGAAACTAGAAAGACTCGACTGAGTGCAGTAGATCCAAACTCTCCTTTTCTTAACATCTGAGACGACAGTCGTTAAACTCGTCCCCGCTGTGCGCAGAGTGAATGTGAAGGGATGGATCGATGACACCGGTCAGAGTTTAGAGCTCTGATGTTTGAGTCGTAACATTTCAGACGTGACAGACATGCAGTTTGTTCTGCACTCAAGCTTTCATCTCGTGTGGTACCTGTCTGAGCTGACCAGGTGAGTTTCTGGTTTCTTTGCAGGTTTCGGCCAATAAAGACACTCTAGGTGAGTCGAGGACTCAGCAGGTGAACCGTTCTGAGCAGAAACTTTGGACGCTTGCGCTCATCCTCTCCTGTTTCTCCTGGTGGGATTCCTGCCTTCACCTGGATAGAAATGGAGAAGAGGGGACACTCAGAATCTCACAGAAATCTTTCTTCCACCTCCTGCAGACGTGTATATATATATAGATAGATATATATATAT